CAAATCTTTCCCCTTCGGTCTTTAGTGGAGACCTGGGTTTAAAGAAAGGGCTTAAGATCCCACTCTTCTTTTGAACCTTTCCCTTTGGTCTGTAGAAAAGACCTGGGTTTAAAGAAAAGGCTTAAGATGCCACATACCACTCTTCCTGAAATCTTTTCCTTTGGTCTGTAGAGGAGACCTGCATTTAAAGAAAGGGCTTGAGATCCCACTCTTCTTTTGATCCTTTCCCTTTGGTCTGTAGAGGAGACCTGGGTTTAAAGAAAGGGCTTAAGATACCACTCTTTCTGCGATCCTTTCCCTTTGGTCTGTAGAGTAGACTGGGTTTATAGACTCATAGAATCATAGAATTGTAGAGTTGGAAGAGACCTCAAGGGCCATCCAGTCCAACCCCGTGCCAAGAAGCAGGAAAATTGCATTCAAAGCATCCAGCCTCTGTTTAAAAGCCTCCAAAGAAGGCGCCTCCACCACACTCCGGGGCAGAGAGTTCCTCTGCTGAACATTTCTCACAGTTAGGAAGTTCTTCCTAATGTTCAGATGGAATTTCTTTTCTTGTAGTTCAAAGCCATTGTTCTGTGTGCTAGTCTCCAGAGCAGCAGAAAACTAGCTTGCTCCCTCCTCCCTATGACTTCCTCTCACATATTTATACATGGCTATCATGTCTCCTCTCAGCCTTCTCTTCTTCCAGCTAAACATGCCCAGTTCTTTAAGCCGCTCCTCGTAGGGCTTGTTCTCCAGACTCTTGATCATTTTAGGCACCCTCCTCTGGACACATTCCAGCTTGTCAACATCTCCCTTCAATTGTGGTGCCCAGAATTGGACACAGTATTTCAGGGCACCACAACTGAAGGGAGATGTTGACAAGTTGGAATGTGTCCACAGGAGAGTGACTAAAATGATCAAGGGTCTGGAGTACAAGCCCTATTAGGACCAGCTCAAAGAGGTTTAATGCTTCATGAAAGCTGTTTCTACTCTAGAGGAGACAGACGCTGCAATCGGGCATGCCATTATGGCCAGCTGGTCAAATCCAAGTAGTTGTATTGGACGAAGGGAACCAACCAATCTGAATCCGTGCACAAGCCTAGGAAATATACTGCAGTGGGCAGATACTTGGCCACCTACTTTATGCTGTACCCTTCATATGGAGTCTAATTCTTCGTCTCCGGCTCATAATCTGAGTGTACTTTGGGTCTAAATGTGCCTTTTGACTGAATCCCATGTCATTCTGATAATGTCTTACATGTGTATTATATTCAGTGTTAATTAGATACAGGTCATGTTTGCAATGCAATATTGATTTGCAGTTTTCTGTAACGTGGGTATTTCTTTCCCTTTGTTTTGCAGGACTCATGTGTAAACCTTCCACCCTCCCACTTCTGTTAAATGTGGGTATGTGGAACTTTTTTTATTGCCTGCTGTTTCATCTGCAGTATTGTTGCAGAGCCATGTTAAAATATTAATAGAGAGCTAGTGTATCTTAAAACTCCAGCAATATATCTGGTTTGATCAAAATGTTCCTCCAACTGAAGTTTTAGTGTATTTCAGATGTTTTGGTTGTGATAGGGCCTGCTTCTTCCTCCTAAGAATTCATTCTTCTCATATCATTTTTTTTCCGGATTTCTCGTGCTCATCTCCTGTTTACCTTGGGGTTATTTGCTCCAAGACAAAATGTTTTCAATGGCTTTGCGCTTTCTTTAGTAAACAGAGAATGTGCCACTGATGTCAAGTGAGGAAATCAGTGTCAAGCACAGGAAAAGCCAGAAGTTGAATGGCTGTTCCTTCAAAATAGGAAACAGCTTGAAGGCTTTTTGGGAAATGGCGAGAACTGCTTTGGTTTATAATGACACTCTGTGACCATAGACTAATGCATCTGCTGTCTGTAGAAAAGCATGTGTAATTCTTAAACGTGAGTGGATTTGCATGTTAATGGTGGCTGTAATATTTAACATGCATTCTGCAAAAGCCGATTTGATACAAATTTGGGTCAGTGTAGAACAGTGTATCTCAACCTGGGGGTCAGGACCCCTGGGGGGTCACGAGAGGGTGTCAGAGGGGTCACCAAAGACCATCGGAAAACCCAGTATTTTCTGTTGGTCATGGGGGTTCTATGTGGGAAGTCTGGCCCAGTTCAGAATGCTCTTTGATTGTAGGTAAACTATAAATCCCAGCAACTACAACTCCCAAATGTCAATGTCTATTTTCCACAAACTCCACAAGTGTTCATATTTGGGCATATTGAGTATTTATGCCAAGTTTGGTCCAGATCCATCATTCTCTGAGTCCACAGTGATCTCTGGATGTAGGTGAACTACAACTCCAAAAATCAAGGTCAATGCCCACCAAACCCTTCCAGTATTTTCTGTTGGTCATGGGGGCTCTGTGTACCAAGTTTGGTTCAATTCCATCATTGATAGAGTTCGGAATGCTCTCTGATTGTAGGCAAACGATATATCCCAGTAACTACAACTCCCAAATGACAAAATCAATCCCTCTCCAACCCGACCAGCATTCAAATTTTGCCATATCGGGTATTTGTGTCAAATTTGATCCAGTGAATGAAAATATATCCTGCATATTGGATATTTACGTGACGAATCATAACAGTAGCAAAATTACAGTTATGAAGTAGCAACGAAAATAATTTTATAGTTGGGGGTCACCACAATACGAGGAACTTATTAAGAGGCCACGGCATTAGGAAGGTTGAGAAACACTGGTGTAGAAGATCCCTAAAAAAGTGGTGTGGCAAATAGTAATGGCTGTTCTAAAATAACAACAAGAAATAATAATATTACAGTGTTATTGAAAAGAACCAAGTCCCAGGCCTGTGATACAGAAGAGGCTCTTTTAGGTAAGAATAATCAGAGCAAGGTAATTAGAAACAGGAGTGAATTAAACCATATTTTAAAGTGACATTTATAAGAACAAATTTACATATCTTTGTTGCTTCAGAAATATTTTAATATTTATGGCCTGTTAGAATGTCAGATAATTTTTTTTCTTATACTAAAAATATCCATTACTAGCTTGACAGTTCTGAACCACCATGGATCCTTCCTGATTTGCAACATAAGAAATCACTATTCTTCCTAATTTAGAAGCATGGGATATCTCCTTATTATCTTATCTGTCTGTTTAAGATTGCATCCTGTCTTTAATAATATGTGATTGATGGAAGATATTCAGGGCACAAAGCCCATTCATTATCAAGTTGGGCCTCTCCCTACCCTAGTATGGAATTGCAGCTTGATTGCACAGAGGAAGTTCAAGGGCCCAAGGGGAGAACAGAGTGCCTTTTATTTGCCAGATGGTTGTGATCCAGACAATGTCATGCACACACAAGGAATGTCCCCAAAGAGCTGGAGAATGGACTTTGGCCTCCAGTCTAGAGTCCATGGTATGATGTCCTTGCAACCATCTATATACAACTTAATGGAGCTGAGAGAGTTTCAAATAAATCTCACTCAAAATTAACAAGTGCCAAACGTCCAGTGAGAGAACTTAGAATGTTTTAAGCAATAAAAAGATAAATAGTTGGATGGCATATTAGGATCACAGAAGCAATGTATATGATGCTTTTTAAATGCAGGTTGAGTATCACTTGTCTAAAATGCCTGAGATCAGAAGTATTTTGGACTTTTTTGTATTTTGGAATATTTACATTTTCATATATAGAGTTCAGGTCCAGTTATCTGAAAGATCATATATATCCTCCACCTCCCACAGGACACGTGTGGCCAAGGTGGTAATAAGATGAGGAAAAACACACAAGCTAGGAGATGCTGTGGTCATTTGCTCCTCTCTGAGAATTTGGGGAAGGGCAAAAATGTGCCACTCATTTCCTCTACCCCTATATGTGCATGTTCACACACATTGATATATGAGATATCTTGGAGATGGGACTCAAGTCTAAACATGTAATTCACTGATACTTTATTTATAGAAATCTTATACATGTAACCAGAAGGTAATCGTATGCACGATATTTGTAATCATTTTGTGTAGACCGAAACATCAGAAAACAAATGAAACTGTCTCAGTTATGCATATGCACAATATCAGATTTTGGAGTATTTTGGATTTTGTAATTCTTGTATAAACATATAGATATAGTGGTTCCCTGTGGTTCAAGCAGGGGAGGGTGCCACTGTGGGATGAGTTCTGCCCACCCTACTCTCAGAGCGCTAGCAACTAGTACATGGACATATGAGGAACACAAAATAGTAGAACCAGTCTGGATACTGGAACTGGTTTTTCCTTTCCTCTTCCAGACATTTGCTTCATGCTGTCTCCAAATAACCTGCCTCTATCTGCCTCATGAATTCTTATGGCTTCATCACATGAGTCTTCGCAAGTGCCCTAGGATGCTCACATTACAATTCATATATGGTGCCCACAACACCCATCACATGATGCACACTCACTTCCACCAGGGCTGTGTAGATGCAAGTGTCCTAAGACACTCCACCCTAAACATGAGAGGCTTCCCGTGCAGGGGGAAGCCGTGCAGTGATACTTCCCCATGTGTGATGGGAAAGCGTCAATGCAGTTGATGCGGGGCATAGGGTGACAAGATTACCCCACAGATTTACCACAGAGGTTGGTGAATCCCCACAGATCCAACAGTAAGTATGATGAAGTCCTTAATAAACATTTGGAGGTTTGCACAAGGACATTTTAGAATGCAGAGCATCCACTAGAGCTCTGGGCTTAATTTTATTTAGTCTCTTTAACTTAATTCATTATTGCTGTAATGAATACTGGAATCAATATGGAAAAGGCCATTTCATAAACATTCTCATTAGTTTCTGTAGGAGTGCTTACATTTTTGCTCCCATTGCTTTATATCTTGCCGCACGTTATGATGAAACTGTGGAGGTTGTTAGTATTGCTGAGTATGAAGTGCCTTGTCCCAATTGAATTAAAATTTCTGACTCTGTGATAATAGCAGTTTTTCTCTCATTCCCCCCACCCCCCGTCTTAACCCACCCACCTACTCCCAGTTACCCTTTTCCCATGATGTTCAGCAGCTGCAGCAAGAAAGACCTGGAAAACAGTTTGGAAAAAGGAGTGGGAATGTGTCTGTTCAATCTGCCAGAGGTGAAGGAATCCTTTGGGGACCCAAAGTGTGGGAACGGCTACGTAGAAGAAGGAGAAGAATGTGACTGTGGTGAACTTGAGGTAAAAATGTCGCCACTGCTTAAAGTACAGACTGGATGTTCAGTCTATGCTAGAATAGGAAGCCATGTTGTTCTGCAGTTATTGAATTCTTTGATAATTTGTAGAATCATAAAATCATAGAGTTGGAAGAGACCTCGTGGGCCATCCAGTCCAATCCTCTGCCAAGAAGCAGGACAATTGCATTCAAAGCACCCCCAACATATGGCCATCCAGCCTCTGTTTAAAAGCATCCATAGAAGAAGCCTCCACCACACTTCTGGGTAGAGAGTTCCACTGCTGAACAGCTCTCACAGCTGGGAAGTTCTTCCTAATGTTCAGGTGGAATATCCTTTCCTGTAGTTTGAAGCCATTGGTCTGCATCCTAGTCTCCAGGGCAGCAGAAAACAAGCTTGCACCCTTGTTTAGACAATTATAGTGGGTTGTTTGTTTAAAAAAAAAAACCTGCAGGCTTCATTGATCTACTGCTACTCCCATTCTGCTACCTGAGGTGGTTACCTGCCTAATGAAAGAGGCAGGTGTGTCTCTCTGAGTACCAGAATGATGAGACATTTAATTTCTGGGTCTGGCCAAGGACTTAATGAACAGGAGCTGACCTCTTATTTTGGTCACTGCTATTGCTGCTGTGCTAAAAAATTCCCAAAGTAATGCCACTGTTCAATCGTACCTGGTGAGAGTGGAGATGAAGTAGAACACAGGTCTTGCACCTCACACTCACGGAAGGAACATAAGAGGAAGCAGAGCATGATGTGATTGTTGTGTTTGATGCTATCTAGGTAATCCTGATTCCTGAAGGACTTTGTGGGGGGGGGGGCAGGATTGCAAGATAACTGTATTCCTTCAGTGTTTGACAATGGTGACTATAGTCAAGTCTCTTCCTCTACCTTCCTCTACTCTTTGGGGACTATTTTGTTTATGGACTGCTCTTTCCGTTCTGTAGGAAGAAAGAGCATTGGATATTTATGGCTATTCTCTTCCTGCTTGAAGATAATGCCATCTCTCTTCTGCAATTCAAATATCTGCTAGTCTCAATTCCTCTCCATTCCCAATTTCTATTTACTGATCTTTTTGTTTATATCCCATAAACAGCTAATTTCACTTTCTCTGTATATCCTCTATATCAGGGGTCCTCAAACTAAGGCCCGGAGGCCGGATGCGGCCCTCCAAGGTCTTTTACCCGGCCCTCGCTCAGGGTCAACCTAAGTCTGAAATGACTTGAAAGCACACTACAACAACAATAACAATCCTAGTCATCAGCCAAAAGCAGGCCCACACTTCCTATTGAAATACTAATAAGTTTATATTTGTTAAAATTGTTCTTCATTTTAATTATTGTATTGTTTTTAAGTGGTTTTGCACCACAAATGAGATATATGCAGTGTGCATAGGAATTAATTCATTTTTTTTCCAAATTATAATCTTGCCCTCTAACAGTTTGAGGGACTGTGACCTGGCCCCCTTTTTGAGGACCCCTGTTCTATATATTCACCTCTATCTAGTCCTCTATATTTCCATCTCTAATTTTTTTCCTATTTTTATCTCATCTTTCATCTTATAGCACTCTCTACACATCCCTCTCTTACGTAACCTCTTGCACCACATCTCTATACTTCATCTCTTAAGTACAGCTCTTTGTGTACCTTATTTCCCCTATTTTTGCATGCCATTGTGTTATAATACTTTTTGCATGAACATTTCTCTTCTCTTCCTTACAATGTCAGCTTTGGTAAAGGAAGGGACACTATCTCATTCTTTACCTCAGACCACAAAACATTTCGGAACAAAGTTGTAGGCGGAGAATTATTCCACACAGAGGACACAACTGATAAGATCCTATTGTATTCTCTTTCCATTTAACTTCATAAATAGAGGTGATTCCCTTGGAAATCTTACGTGTGAGTGAGTCCTAGTGATGAGGCGTGTTCCCTGCGAAAGTTTGTACTGAAGCCTGCACAATGATACAGTTGGAAAGAGGACAACAATTATGTCAATATCCCCTTGCCATTTCCTCTGTTTGCCCAAGAGTAGCCTGCTGCCCAAAATTGACTGTCCTCTGAGTTAGGATTTTTTATTTAAAAAAATAGATTTGCTAGCTCTACAGAAAAATACCTGATAAGATGCCTTTCCTTTGTTTAAGTACTGGCATCCTTTGTTGATACTGATTTTCTCCCAGATATTCAGAACTAAATATATCTAAAATGATAGATTTCTCTTCTCTAGCAAATATAGCACTGCATACAAAATAGACTGAGACACACAAAAGAGGAAGTTTTTTTCTAGATTTCTCATACAGTTTATTGAATTGATCCCAGTCGTAAAGATTTCCTGACAGTTCACTCATTCTTCTAGGCAGCAAAAATTGGAGACAAGTTTGTCTCCTTGCTTAAAAACCAAGAGATGTCTGTAGCTGGCAAAGTCATTCCAACTCTTCCATCTTTCTCATTTTCAAACCTGAATGTTGCTAATACCTTCTAAAGTAAAAGCCACTTAATATTGCCACGAAGCAGTTTGACCTGCGGCTTCTTCCTTTGTTTTGTTAAATGCCTTGGAAAACTGCGACTCAAGTACGATTGATTTTAGTCCCAATCTTCTACTGTAATCTGTGGTACCAGCAAATCCATTACATTAGTTAATGTTACATTAGCTAAGTAATTTAGACTAGAATCCACACGTCAATACCACTCTAATTCTTGAAGGCATCAGGTGGTTCCGACTGCAACTTTTTGTGAGGCTTGCATACAAAAGTGATTTTTATTAACTATTGGAATTGGAATAAAGTGGTTGTGCTTTAGAAGAAAATTCTACCATGTGTGGTGAGGTGTCTATACTCACACATTAATTTTTTTAAAGTTGTTTGGGCTCTCTCCTACACAAGTTGCCCTGGGGAAAAGCCTCACTCCCAGAAAATAAGATGGAGAAACTTGTTGGCTGCTGCTGATTCTGGGGTGTTCGGATTATTTATAAAGAAAAAAGGAGGAAATAGGGAAATTGTGTCCTTCTTATAAACATTTGGAAGGACACAGTTATAAAGAAAAGGCTAAAATAGATTGATTGATTGATTGAGTGTGTCAGAAGTGAATTGAGTATACAGTTATAATAGATAAAGAAAACCACAAACAAAGTTAAAAACTTGGCATTATGCTAAATTTCCTTTGACCAGAAGCTGATCACTTCAAGTGCCTCTGGTGTCGCTGTAAGAAGGTCCTCCATTGTGCATGTGGCAGAGCTCAGACTGCATTGTTGTAATGGTCTGTGGTTTTCTCTTCTCCACACTCGCATGTCATGGAGTCCACTTTGTGGCCCCATTTTTTAAGGTTGGCTCTGCATCTCGTGGTACCAAAGCACAGTCTGTTCAGCGCCCAGTCTTCTGTGTGCCCAGGAGGGAGTTTCTCATCTGGTATCAGCCACTTATTGAGGTTCTGGGTTTTCACCTGCCACTTTTGGACTCTCACTTGCTGAGGTGTTCCTGCAAGTATCTGTAGATCTTAGAAAACTATTCATTGATTTAAGGTATTGGCATGCTGGCTGATATCCTAACAGGGGATGGGCCAGAGATGTCACTGCCTTGGTCCTTTCATTGTTGGCTGCTACTTCCCGGTGGATGTCAGATGGTGCAATACCAGCTAAACAATATAATTTATCCAGTGGTGTGGGGCGTAGACATCCCATGATAATGCAACATGACTCCTTAAGAGCCACACCCACTGTTTTAATGTAGTGAGATGTGTTCCACACTGGGCATATTTAGCAGCAGAGTAGCAAAGTGCAAGGGCAGATGCCTTCTCTGTGTCTGGTTGTGAATCCCCAGGTTGCGCCAGTCAGATTTCGTATACTATTATTTCTTGCACCCACTTTTTGCTTGATATTCAAGCAGTGCTTCTTGTAGCACAGTCCAGGGTAACTCCCAAGTATTTTGGTGTGCTGCAATTCTCCAGTGGGATTCAATCCCAGGTAATCTTCAGAGCTTGAGATGCTTGTCTGTTCTTAAGGTGAAAAGCACATGTCTGTGTTTTCGATGGATTAGGAATCGGCTAGCAGTGGTTCTCAACCTGGGGTTCCCAGATGTTTTTGGCCTACAACTCCCAGCAATCCCAGCCAGTTTACCAGCTGTTAAGATTTCTGGGAGTTGAAGGTCAAAAACATCTGGTGACCCCAGGTTGAGAACTACTGAGCTAAAGGTTCAGAGAGCCTCTGTTCAACCATTTCAAAGCTCCCTGCTTGGGCGGTGATGGCACGATTGTCAGCATAGATGAAACTCTGTCCCTTCTGGAAGTGGCTGATTCTGGGGTGTTCAGATTATTTAAAAAGAAAAAAAGAGAAAATGTGTATTTATTTATTTATTTATTTATTTCCAACATTTCTATCTCGCCCTTCTCTACCCCCAAAGAGGGACTCAGGACGGCTTACAATGGCAGCAATTCGATGCCGACAACAAATAAAATACAATATAACAACATTATGCATAAGATAAAAAATTAAATTACAATACATTAATACATTATTATTCGCCATATCGCCGAATCCAGATCTAGTTTAGAAATATGGAAATGTCCTCCTTGTAAACATTTGGCAGGACACAGTTATAAAGAAAAAGCTAAATTGGATGCACTTTGGTTATATTCACTTGGTTTAGCATTCATACTGCAGTACAGAAACTGATTTACAGGGGTATAACTGAGGGGAGGGAAATAAGGGCTTGGTCCAGCCAAATAAAATTCTTCCCCATAAATTTTCCTTCAGCAGCCAAATTTCTACCATTGCAGAGAGTGAGACAAATGGCTCACATGCAAAACACTTGTGCTTGCTGTGTTCACATTCCCTTGGCAACTCTGTCCCTTTTCTTTGGATGCCTAAACTGTAATTCCCTAAACTGTTAAGTTAAGTTTTAAATTACTGCAGTACTAGAAATTTAGGGAGTAAAATAAGATGTCATGGGTGAGAAAGAATTCTTATGTGGGGAGAGCAATTCCTTCATCCAGCTCCATAGCTATATTCCTGTCTTT